TCAATCTTCGAATTGCCTAACGAAAATTGCTTTGTTACAAATTTCCTAGAATTGCCTAACGAAAAATTGCTTTGTTACAAATTTCCTATCTCCCTCATAGTTGGTAGGTATATTTACTTCTTGCCTGTCGGGATCGCTACTCTTCGATCTCTGTTTACTGCTGATTTCCTAGGTCTTTAGTGCATCCAGAGCACGGTATATAACGTGAAGTCAACTGGGCGATTCTTTTCCGTTCTCAGTCCCTCATCTCCATCAAAGCATGGCTCAAATGGCAAAGCCAAAGTAGCCAAGGCTTTGGTCACACCCTTCCTTCCCTCTGGACATTTGACAGAAGCTGACTTCATTTCTCAAATCAGAATAATTCCTAACTCTCCTTGGTATATAGTCATAGTAAAGTGCTTGGAAACAGCCTGTCTTGGATTTGCTTCAAATGCTGATGACTGGGGAGAAAGAGAATCAACAACATTGACAAACATTGCTAATTGTTTAAATTGGGAATTCATTTCACTGTTCTTTTTACTTTTCCAAATTTCCACCTATCCTATTTGTGGATGATTTTTTTTTTTATCTCACACACTTGCCCACTTTTTTCTATTGTTAGGCTTTTTAAATGCATATTTTAAATTTGCATTCAATAATTGGCTGAGTTAGAATCTTTATATTTTTGTTGAATAGTGACTTTTTTGAAGATAGAAGTTTATATATCCTTCCTATTTTCTACCAGTTTATATGCGTTTTCTTCTTGATGTGAATTTCTTTAGATGCTGAAAAATACTTCTTCCAGCTTCACAAAATCTTTAGCTTTGTTGGGGGATATTTTTATTGACAGTTAATTTTAACATAAATATATAAAGTAATTAATTTTTGGTTTAAGAAGATCTTCCTGTCTAGAGGATATAAATATAGTTTACAGTTTTTCAGATTCTTAAGATAATTTTATTTCATACTCATGTATTCATCATTTTTGTTGTGTGAAATTAAGCAGTTTTAATTGCTTTTTAGAATTTAGTTACTTGTTTAGTTCCTGACAATCTACAAAAACTAAGTCACACTCTATACCCTCTCCCTGAGAGATGTTTCCAAGATCTTGATGTTGTTCTGATGCACATTAACCAGGCTCAAATCTTCCTTTAGCTAAGGAAGATCAGACTCTCCATTCAGTGGCTAGACCCAAAAACTTCCCATTATCCTGTACTCCTCACTTCACCTCCATCTCACAACCAATTTAAGAATCAACCCCTTAAAACTGATATAAAATCCCACCACTTCCATGTGACTGCCTGGCCTGGGCCATCATTATAGCTCAACCCATTCCTCAGGACTACCCTGCCCCCACCACAATGCTCTCCCTCTCTTTCCCCCTTCTCCTACTTTCCCTTTCTCTTCTACGCTCTTTAAAAAAAAAAAAAAAGATTTATTCATGCATACAGAGCTGGGGTACAGGCCAGAGGTACAGGGTCATGAGAGGATTCACCAAAGACAGAGTGGGGAGCAGGACAGGTAGATCAACAGAGCACACTGCTGAGGGGAGCAGCGGGCAGGTCAGGAGAGGTCTGCCGCGCCATGTGGATCACCTCTGGGGCTGGGATCGAACTGTAGCTCAAGTGGCTTTAGCTTCTTCAAACTCTTGCGAAAGTGGCTTTAGCTTCTCGGTGCTGTGCTTTAACCCGCTGAGCCACCAGGGAGGGCCCTCTCTTCAACACTCTTATCTCATTCAGTAACCAGAACAATCCTGCTACAAGTGAGTCACATCATTTCCTTGCACCAATACCGCCACTGGCTCCATGTATGGCACTGGGGGCTTGGGACCAGCTAGCTGGGTGTTTGTTTGTTTTTGGCCTGGAACCCTCCTCTCTTGTACATCAGCATGACTAAGTCTTTGCCCAGATGTCAACTGCTCCAACTACTTCAGATGAACTTGTAATCTGATTTTAATCCATTTATCCGGCTCTCTTTGCCATAGCACGATCTCTTATATGTACACATTTGTTTCCTGTTATGTTTGCTTTTTAAAAATCATCTTCTCACTGTCGATGAGTTCTAGGTAAACTGGAGTCCCTGGCCCTTTCAGAAAGGCCCTTACCCCAGAAGTTTTATCTGGAGAGATGGCTCTTAGGTGTTAACTGTGCCCCAGTGTTATCATCCAACAAGTACGTTTCCTTTGTGGAATCTTGTGGTTTGGTCGATAATATCATTAGCATAAAAACCAAAGAGGAGAAATTTTGTCCCTGAGACATCCTAAGTTTTAGAAGAGTGTCTCGTAACCGGTATCAGATGTCCAAGCACTTTGAGTGAAGGATTGAATAGTCTAATGGATACTTCCTTCCTATTCCATGGTCATCTCACACCTAATCTATACAAAATTCCATGCATTCTGCCCAAGTTATGATAGCCAGGCCAGATAGCTAAGAGTTCATCTCCTTCAACTCCCCTTTCCCTTATTCTAGCTCCTCTACCCACAACTGTGCAGTCCATCCCCATCCCACCCCCATCCTCAGTCTCTCCTCTTCTGAAGGCCTCCTCCTAATGGCCTGATTAACAATCACTCTGGTTGCTAACTACCTACTCTGAGCTTGCATCTTTAGCATTTGCTGGTGACTCCATAGCCCCCCACCCCCACCAGTATCACCAAGCCCCCAGTCTGTCCCCAGACAGCCAGAACAAGTCAAACCCAAGCTTGTCTCAGATTAAAAATCTCGCCGTGATTCTCCATGGTGTTTAGCGCATTGCCTATACTCATCACGTGTTTAATGGACGTGGCCTTGCTCTGTTCCACTCCTCCCCGACCAGGCCTCACTCCTTGGAAGCTACTGGTTAGATCTGCTCTGTCTTCCCTGCCTGGGTGCATGCATTGGCATGGAGCAATGCTCTCCTCCACTGGTGCCCAGAACACACACTTTAAAACCGAACTCAAGGTCCTCCCTGGTGGCACAACAGGCTAAAGCACAGCACTACAAAGCTACTTCAGCACCAGTTCGAACCCCAGCCAGGGAGCTGACCCACTTGGTGCAGCAGACATCTCCCACATTGCCCACTGCTCCCCTCAGCAGTGTATTTCAGTCCATCTGCCTGTTCTGCTCCCCCCTCTATGCACCTCTGGCCTGTGCACCCATTCTGTATACATAAATAAATACATATATATTTTTAAAAGACAGAAGTCAAGTTTCAAATCTTAGAGAAGATGGCCTTCTGTCCTGCTGCCAGTCCCCTGGCACGTGTCATTTGTATTGGCATTACTGGCTTGCTCAGCAGCTTCCCCACTGAATTGTAATCTCCAAGACAGGGGTTTATCTTTCATCTCTAAATGTCTGCTGCAATGCATAATACAGGCATAGAGTCATCACTAGAAAATGTACATTATACTAAGAACGGTAGAAATGTCTGATACTTTCCCTCTTGTTCACATCCATAGCCCCTACCCTCCAACCCTCACCCCTGTAAATGGCAGCCTTGGGCTGTGGGATGTCTTAAGTTGGAGCAGCACGGATGTTTAGAGACAGACCTACCAGATGATGAGGAAAAGCGAATATAGACTTTGGAGCCATGACAAGTTCTATGTCCAGTGTAGCCTTTACCAGCTGGGTTGCCCCGGGCAAATTCATGAAGCTCTTCCTGCCTTTGGGTTGCCAAGAGTTTAACAGCAATTCCTGTAGCAGAGACTTATTTTAACCATTTATTTTTACCCACCAATTTTTAGATCATTTATTAGCTCAATAGACCACTTCCAAGGATCCGCACAGCAGAAGATATACACAGCAGTTCATTCTTGCCTTTTTAAAAAATCAGGATGAGAAGTGCTGAGCAGTATGGCTGGAGCACAGGGTCAGCTGAGGTGTCAGCTGGTGTGGCCCTTTTCATCTTCCTTCTTAGGCCCAAGAAGTGTCCTGCCTCACCTACCCTGCTGGCATCGAGTGACTGGAGGAGCGATTTTTTGAGCTCCAGGTTAAGAGCCGCACCTTTGGGTCCCCAGTGCCCGGTGCTGAGGGAAGGCGCCCACAGTTTGGAGAGAAGCAGCTGGGTTGCCCACCTGATTCCCTGTCCCCTGGAGCGGAGAATGCATCCCAAAAGTCCAAAACAGATTGCAGGAATTAGCCCTTGTTGCACTCAGCAGTGCTGATAGCCTGTTCCAATTAGCTGGGTCCTAGAACCTTCCCTGTGAAATCTGAGTCAAGAGCTCTGCTCCTGCCACTCATCCCTCCTCCAGACTCAACTGCCAGCACAAAATGCCTATCAGCAGAAAAGCTGCTGTGTGCTGGAGAGTGGCAGATGGAGAAGTGGCAAGTGGGAATGGCAAAGGCGAATGATTAATTAGCTCCAAACTAGACAGGAAACTGTCCAAGAGTTTTTTTTTCTCCCCCTTGGAATGAGGAGGGAGTCCTGGGAACCTATGCGTTAGTGCTGCTGTTAGTTCCTAATTTCGGGACTAAAGTGGTAGGAAGATGAGGTTGGAAAACCACCTTTCTCAGGGAAGACTCAGACTTGGTGGGAGGAAGCGGGCCAGCAAGAGCAGCCCCTCCAGAGCGGAGCACGGAGCCTCCAGGGAAAGCTGCATCCAAGGGAAATGACATCAGAAGGCCCTGCAGAATCCACTGGGGCACAAATGAGCAAGAAGCACCCCTGGGGGCCCAGAGAAAGGGAACCACTTCTTAATGCCAAATAAAAGCACCTAAGATTTGAGAGATTTGGTTTCTCCTCCCGCAAGAGAACATGGGCTATGGAAGGGCCCCTGGCATCTGAGGGCTGGAGGCGGGGCCTGTGCTGACCCAGAGAGGAGCTGGGGTTGGGGGGCGGGCAAGGTTTGTTTGGTTCTACCCACTTTTCATTCTGCTGTCCCCAGTTGATAACCTTGTCTTCCTAGAATGTAGGCCAGGACCCACGGCTGGAGCGGGAAAGCCCTCAGCATAGGTCTGGGGTGTTTGTTTTAAAGAATTGGAAGATACAGAAGTTCTTCACTGCAACACTGAGGTCCATCTCAGAATGTGGGTGACAGGGAACACAGGCTATTTCTTGTGGGCATGGTGCCTGCGGGAATGCCATTGCTCCCGATTCTTTGGGGGTTTTGATTTGGCACCCATGGAAAATGAAGGGGCTGATGATCTGAAAGATGGTCTCCCAACAAAGCCCTGGGAGGGTGGAGAGGACACCCCAAAGCTATGCTTGCTGCCGGTCTTCACTGGCCCATGGGCAGCGGTGCTCTGATCACAGGAGGCCCTGCAGGCCCCCCCAAACATATTCTTTCTTGCAGAAATGCTCGCCCTCCCCAAGACAAAAGGTGTGCTCTGGCTGCTTGGGCCCCTGGCGTTCTGACTCCAGGCCTTTCCAAAAGGTGAGGCTGTGCTAGAGGTCCCTCGAGACGCTGTTGCGACGCTGCTGCGTGGGCCAGAGGTGGATCTTGTGTGGGGGGCAGCCAGGCTGACTCCAGAGTCCCCGCAGTCCATCGGGGTCACTAATCCCCCAAAGGCAAAGGGTCGCGGGGCCGTGCTGCCGAACACTGAGCGGCAGGCCGTCTGGCTGGCAGCTCTAAAACCAGTGGCACTAGCGGGACCAAAGGGAAAGGCTGCTGGCCTGCCGCCGCCCGAGCCCTGCCTGGCCCTGACAGGGCTGTGAAAGGGGGATGTGGAGGGGGAGGGTGTCGGGCCCGCTCGGGCTGCCTGTGTAGGGCTGCTGAAGGCTGGCTGAGGGGGTGTTGGTGCAGGAGTTGATGTTATTGCTGAGCTCCCCAAAATCAGCGAGCTGTTGAAGCTCAGGCCCAGGGCTGGCTGGGGGAACTCTTGTTTCTGCCTAGCTGCTCCCCCAAAGGCAGGCGGGGGAGTGGCTGCTGGGGATAGCAGGAAGGTTGGCGTGGCGCTTGATCCCAAGGGAACTGGGGATGCTGAGTTTGGTTGGGAGGTGCTGGAGCACAGGGCAGACTGGTCGGGAGTTGCCAAGGCTGAGACCTGCTGTGGGCTCTTCAGGTCCCTAAAACTGGCTGCGCTGCTGTGAGGGGACATCTGGCCACCGCTGGGGAGGACCTGGCCGAAGATGGTGACTGTGTGGACACTAGGGGTGGAAGGACAGGTGTGTGGTGGGAACACGAAGCCTGTGGCTGGTGAGAAGCTGGCTCTGAAGGCTCGGGCAGCCCCCAGAAGGAATGTGTGGCAAGTGGAAGGGACGGAGGAAGTGTCACTCGGGGTCCGGGGCGCATTCACCACACCAGAGTCCAAGGGCGGCGTGGAAACAGTGTCTTTACATGTGTTGGCTTGAGCGGTGGACAAGACAACTGAGGTGGCCTTGACCAGGCCCTGGAAGAGATCTGTCGACACTGGAGTAGCTGGAGGGGAGAGCTGCTTGGAAGAGTGGGGGGGTGTCACGGGCATAGTTTGAAGTGGTGCCATGCTGCCAAAGATGGGCTTAAAAGTGGGAGTTGAGGTCCCCGACATTGAAGATGCCACTGTTGTGACTGAAATTCTGGAATAGAAACAGCCTCTAATCTCACTAGCGGGTGTGAGCCCCAAAGTGCATTTGGATAGGTGGTCAGCAGAAGCTGCAGTAAGAGGTGTAGGTTCAGGAAGATGGGGTGCTGGGCTACTCATCATTCCAAACAAATGACTCTGCGTGGCAGGTGTTAAGGGAGTAGCGGCAGGCAGGAGCTGGGGCAGAGAGGCCTCGCCAGCCTGCAGGGTGGAAGGTGGCCAGGTGGTGGCAGGGACTGATGTTGTGGGAGAAACGGGGGTCAGGAGGATGAAAGCAGCTTCAGGTTTGCAGTCTGGAGAGGTGTCTGGAGGGGGCGCTGATGGTGAGCACCCCGGTGGGGTCAGCAGGCGGGGTGTGTTCAGAGGTGAACCACCCACACGAAGTGCTTCTCCAGTAGACTGTGGGTAGGCCGCGGGGCCTGGGGGCTCCTGCATTTGCTTTCCAAGCTGAGGATGGGGGCCCTGTGCTGGAGCTGACCCTGCAGAAGGTGGGGTGTGCTCCGGGGAAGGTTCAGTTGCAGACTGAGTCTCAGGGCCAGAGACTGTGGCCGGCTCCGTCACACCCTCCTCTCCACACTTGTTCCATGTTAATCTCAGCTCCCCTCTGTCCAGATCCTCTTCAGGGAGCACATAACCAAGCTGGGGGGGTGGGGCAAGGGCCAGCAGGTTCTGGGGGCTACATGGCAGCAATGGAATCATCTGGTTTTGCTGCCCAGATCTACCAGATTCTGATACCAAAGGGCTCGGGGAGTGAACCAGATGACCTTTATCTTTCTTTTTCACTGGCCACTCTGGTGTCTGGAGGGATGCACTGGGAACACTTCTCTTCTGGGAGAAATTTCTAGAAGAGCTGTAAGAGCTTGTAATCACATTTCTTTTGGAGCGGAGGGAGCTACCTGGGTGTGTACTGGCCAAGGAGTTCTTAGAGCAGCAACTGGGCCTCTTCTTCAAGCTGTGATCTGAGTTCCAGGAGTGGAGGCTTTTCTTCAGAAGCCCAGCCTTGGGCACGAAATAAGTGCGGGTTCCGTTTTTCATCAGGGGCTTAAATGCAGACGATCTGGCCTCTGAACTCCTTCTCTTACGGTCCAAACTCTGGGGGAAGAGGGGTTCTTGCAGCCTGGCTCTCCCTTTCGTGCTCTGGCTGATGGCTTGAAGCACTGTCTCCTTGGCACAGGGGTCCCGGGCCTTCTCGGGGAGTGATGACTCTGCGGAATTGATGACCTCCGCTGGTGAAGTGGTGGGGGGAGCCCTCCTCTCCGGAGGCGCGATCTTGACGGTCACCGGGCTCCAAGTTGCCTGGGGGTGCCGAAGAGACCAAATAGATCTCTTGAGGTAACTTTCCCACCAGTCTGAGGGAAGAGGCCCCATGATGGAATTTAGGGGCCTCCTCATGGGAAAGCGCCTCCAAGCCTCATTGACTCCCCACGAGGTGGGGTTATTAGGGTCCCAATTTGGCGGCCTCCTCGCAGGTCTGTGCCTCGGGGCAGGGTGGGCGCGATGGACGTGCTGAACCCGGTGGATTTGGTGAAGGGGCTGAGCCGGCCGACGGTTCACCGGACTCTCGGGCAGGTCTGTGCGCACCTGGGCGGGAGGCCGCGGCTGGGGTCCTGACTTGCCCAGGTAACTGCCCATGAAGAGCGATGAGGCCGGGTCGGTGACTTCGTTTCGAGGAGGTCTGGGGCACCCAAGGCTTCTCTTCTGCTGACTCAGCCCGAGTCGAAGTGCGCTGAGTTCGGGTGACGGTTGGGATCAGGGCGCGAGGAAAGTGCCAGAGTCTCGGGGCGCTCCACATCCCCCAGGTCCGCAGAGCCAATCTGGAACCCTGGGCCCAAGTTCACAGAGGCGCGCAGCGCGGAAGTCCAGCGCGAGCTGGATCTCTAGGCTACGGCTGCAGCCCAGCTAGAGCGTCCAAGTTCAAGGCGTTGACAAGGGTCGTTCCTCCTGCAGTTTCCAGAGAGTCCCAGTAGGGGGCGCTGCTCAGAGGGCAATGGTGAGGCTCCCGGAGGGGCGCTGCATCAAGACCCCGACAGGTGGATCTCTGCAGCTCAGCTGCAAGCAACTCTGGAGGCCCAATTTGCAAGTTAGAGGTTCGTGCGCTTCTCCTTTCCTGTAGCCCTTTCCTTTAGGCCACAGGTTGGCGCCAGGCGCCTGCAGATGGATAACTACCGGACGCAGTGACCTCTCGGCTCCACCTAGGGTCCCCGCCACCGAAGTCGGCCTTTGCATTCTTATGGAGCCTCTGGGCTGGGGAGCGTGCACACGGTAAGGACTCTCCATTCCCGGGTCTAGTCGATCGTCAGACGTCCACCTCCCAGATCTCTCCACTGCACTGTTTCTACCTTGGCCAGGGTGGATCAGAGCTCCTGGAGAAGTGGGACATTTCTGAACCGCGTTTGGACAAAGAGAGTTTATGAAGGAACTCGTTCTTCAGCGACCTTGACGTGAACTTAAATGTCCCTTCAATCCTTGCCTGTTGTCTTATTGGAAGGAATAGTTTTAGTAATCTTTTAAAAAGTTACTGAGTTTTTTTCACAGTGTGAGTCACCTGTCTGACTCTGACTTGGAATAAGTATTCAGTCATTTAAATTATTTAGCGAATTTAACAAATTAACATTTGCATAAATATCAAAGTCGATGACTTAGTTTCTCCATAATAATTGTATGCAATTTAGCTGTCCATTTTTCCTCTTGAAAAGAACCTATTTTCTAAATTTAAGGAGTATTTAGAAAAAGCATTTTGTTTTTATAGTAGATGATTGTTGGCAATTTTATTTATTCAGAATGTTATTTTTGTATCTAGTTTTGTAAATGAGCAAAATTTAATATATTCCTTTGTTTTCGATTGATTAATATGCTTTAGTCCATTTTCTTTATCATAAATATGCAAGTGGACTTAGAGAATTATTATTCAGTGAATGAGATAACCATGGGCTTATACCTGGTATCTGGAAGGTGAGTGCAGTTTGGGGGTTTTAGGTGCAGTTGGCACTGACTCCCCTTTGAAAAGGTTCAAGTTTGATTGCATAATAGTATAATGATGATGAGCTGTGAGCTTTCATTAGCTATGTGTTATATATAATTAAAATCTATGGCAAAAAAAAGCACAAAAATCCACGGGTTAATTTAAAATGCAGGAAATGTGTTCTTGTTCTAAGTCACTTATAATTTCTAGGGAGTACAAACTTATATTAGACTTTCAGTATAGAGTACATTTGTAATTTCTATGGCAAGGGATTCAAAAAGAGCAAAAGAACATAATAATAAGATAATAGAAGGAGGCATGGAATGAATTTTAAAGTCTGATAAAGAAAATGAAAGAAAAATCAACATAGATCCAGGATATATGAGAAAGGAGGGTAAAACTAAGGTAGACTTAAAAGCAAATGTGTCAAGAATTATATGAAGTGTAAATAGGCCAATTATATCATTGAAAGACAAAGATGGTGAGGTAAGTAAAAATTAAATCCAGTTACATGCAGCTAAAGGAGATACACTATAAGTATAAAGGTAAATTAAGAATGAAATTATGTTACTGAATTTATGCTCCTAACATTTGTTAAGGAGTTTTACACCTAAGGTAATGAGGGATATTAGCCTGTAGTCATTGGTGTTAGAGTAATGTACACCTTATAAATTTAGTAGAATTTTTTTCCCTTAAACATGGGATCAGATTTCACCTTTGAAACAAGGTGAACTTGGAGTTTTCTTTGTGGGAAGGTTTTAAAGAATCAAATCAATATATTGATATTTATGTTTGCATGAGGCCTACCTAGGGTGACAGAGGGCTTTAAAAAATTGTTCTTCACAACCTCTAAATATAACATTATTTACCAACACTCCCAATATTATTATTATATAATATAATGTAATTATGCAGTTCTCAACAGATTTTGAAAGGATTAAAAACAGGGAAGGGATTCATTAGTCAGTGTGGAATTAAGACATTGTTAACAAAAGAATCTATAAATCCCCCCCCAGATGTTTCTAAAGTAAGCAGTGTAATTCTATATATAATATGGGGGTGGGGCATGTGCAAATAATTCACAGTGGAAAGTAGAATAGATTTTACATTGAATTATAGTTAAACATTACATATAAAAACATGTGAGTGGCAGCTAAAGTTATGTTTTCCAAGGTAGTACTGAAAAATCTAAATGTCCATTTCATCTGTTATAATTCTTCTGATGTGAATCAGATTTGTATTTACTAGCCCCAGACAATCCATCAACACATCGTAAGGAGATAAAAAACTTGAAACTATTTTACTGGAGGATACAACAGGAGTACATATGCAATTTCCTTCTCCCTGAAATTACAAAAAAAAAAAAAAAAAGCAAAAACAAACCCACTTCAGTGGAAGTAGTTCCTATTGCTGTTTTGATGGACACTGGGGATGGAAGGAAATTTACACTTCAGATAGATCTGTGGAGCTGTATAGTGGAAGATGGGCGAGATTTCATTGGAAGGAAGTTGAAAAAAGTCAAACTTGAAGATTTCCA